AGGAATCAGTTGAATCCTGCCTGGTATGTCCATACCTGCACTAATCATCCATCTGCTGTACTGTCAATTGGCACGTCTAGACTGCTCCTTTGACCTGCTGTAGGCATGTCCCAGAGATAAGACAGAAGCTGTCCCAGAAGGTTCCCTTTTCCTGTTGCCTATAAAGTCATTACAGGGTGATTAGATAACTCACAACGTTTTACAGTGCTGATGCCTAAAGTGGTCTGGGATAAATCCTAAACCTCTGCTTAAGATCCAGTGCTGCAATTTTATCTATATCCAGCTTCAGGTGCCTGATGAACTAGGATAACATCTCCCAGGCAGGAAAAAGGAGAACTTTAGGACCCACACCACCCAGGATTCTTATATGTGATAGAAGAAGGATAATATATAGCTTGAGTACTTCAAGGAGTTTGGCCTATATTGTCTTTCCCTGTCCCCTGGGCCCCCCTTCTCTTTTGGACTCTTTCAGATATGCTAGGAAAATAGAATAATGTTTGGCAGAATAGCATGGAGAAATGAAATAGGATGAATGTGAGTTTGCTGCCTTTGTTTAGGGCTGTTGGTCTCTCAGCAACATCTAGGCCAAGTCATGGGCATCAAATGGGTTGCACAGAGCTCAATGCTCTGTAATCACAGAGCAAAACACCCTCTCCAAATTCAGAAAAAAAAAGTAGGAAATACTTCTAAAAAAATGCAAGAGGATTTAATACCAACTGGCCTTTGCAGATCAAAAGTTCACTAAAAGACCTTTGTAGGCCAAAGGCTACTGGCAAGTGGACACTGGCTGCTGCATAAATTGTATTTTCTGAATTATGGCTTTCCATCTTAACAGGCTGTATGGGAGAGTCCCACAAAGAGAGGTGAGGACATCAAGAGGCACATTTCACTTCTGGCAGCTGGAACTGAACATGGGGTATAAGGCTAAGCTGATTCAGGTATCTTAGATATCATAGATCTCAGATATTGGAGGTAATCACAGAGTGAAACAACTGCAGAGTAACAAAAGTAAGCTAAGGGTTAGAGACAGGCTGTCCATAAAAATGGGCTGTTGCTTTTAGGATGGAATGATAAAACTGCTAATTTTTAATTCTTTGTAGTAATCCACTCTCACCATTTCCTGTGGTATTACCACTGGACATGGGGAACTGATTATACTCTTCCTGTTTTCAGCCACTTATTACGTACTTGAAGACTATCTCAGTGCCTACAGCTAGTCTATTTTAGACTAAACAGTCTCAACTCTCCCAGTCTTTCCTCAGAGAGCATGTTTCAGAAACTTGAGGGATTCTAGTTGCTTTTATCTGTGTGCCCTTTCCAAGTCTTCTGCATCCTGCTTCAAGTGTAGTACCTAAAGTGGACACACAACAGCAGCAGAGGCTTTGTTTGGGCCATACAGGAGCCATCTCACATCTTACAGACAAACAAATTTGAAAAAGGCTCGTTATTTGTTTTTTCTTTTGCAAAACAGTACAATCTATATGCATTAACTGATTTCAGCTGAGAGGATCCTGGATATTGGATTGATCCCTGCTAGTCTATCTACTCAGCCCCCACAGCTGACCAGAAGCTTGAAGGAATTCTTGTTCTGCTGAGTTTCCTGTAAGTTATTTAGGAAGAAGAAGGTTGATATTTTGAGGCAAAGGAGAGGATAGATTATAAAAATTTAAGATTACCTAAGCAACTACCAGGTCAGACATAGCACTGACCTAATTTATGATCCTGTCTCTGCTAGCGGCATGAAGGAGACAGTAAGGCTGCAGGGATGTTGAGAGAAAAGGAAAACAAAAAGAAATAAATCCATTTTGAAAATATTGCTGCTGGTAGAATTGAGTGAAAGCAGATGTCACCCAGTGAACTTCAGACCCTGAAGAAATGTTATTTCTTTCACTTAGTGAGAAAAGTGAGCAAGCCAGCGAAAAAAGTCTCTGGCTTTAAACCCACTTTGAATGACTCATGCATAATAGAAATAAATCTTGGTTGGGAGCAGACTTTTCCTCATCATTCCTTTTTCTTTTAAAGATCTTCTCAGGAGTCTTGTAGATCTCAAATACATTTCTTTGCTTCCTAGTTCCTGTCCCTCGTTCAGCAGTGCTTTCCCTTCAGTGTTAAGGACTATAACCATGTGCTGTGAGTGTGTATGTGAGGGGATATAACATGGATTTCTGTTGCTAGACACAGATTCATTATATTGTCCAAGGTTCAAAACTGTAAAGAACAGGTGGCTGAAAGCACTGAGTCCTCAGATAAGAGCTGTCACTCACTGTGTTGCTTAAAATGCTAGAAATTTTTGTAAATCAACTAATTTCTCCCAGTTGAGCAGGTAGATTTTGCTGAAATTGAGAACTTGGGTCCAGTCCCCCTTGTTTAAAAGTGGTGGCCAAATTGTCACTATTAGGTCAAGGCAGAGCTGGCATCTTGCAAGCTCACTTTCTGCTTTCCTAATGATCTATGTGTTTGGGATGGCTGTGTTTTTTCAGGAGTTCTCTTCCTGCCCCATGACCCAGCTGTTGTACACCAGACTCGCTTTCCTTGTCTGCAGGTGTTTTATCTCCTTGCAAACTGTTCCCAGGAGAAAGCCATTCCTATCTCCCAGACTCTCCTTTCACCGGGTTGTATGTGAGTCTTGCACACATAGACCTTGCTGATAAGTGAAAATCTTATCAGCTGGCCTTGACAACCTGTGGTGTCCTAGGCTGCCTTGGGCTTGCCCTTAGGCGTCTGCAGAAACCAGAGCAATCACCTCACTGCAGCACAAGCAGTGAGTGACCTTAGGAAGCACTCAAACATTTGCATATTATTGCATACATAAAAACAATAATAAATGTTGGTGGGATGTGGAGCTTATCAACAGGCTCCACAAAAGCTCCTTCATTTGTTTATAAGGAACTGCAGACCAGAGATGCCTGAATTTGCAGACAGGAAGGGTGAGGGGGGAAAACACCTCCACTTGTTTTCTCCTTTGAACAACAACATTTCTCTTAACCTTAACCATAGAAGGTAGTGCAGCCACTTGGCAAACAGACTTGGGTGAAGTATCTTGGCTGGAAATGTTGGCTTGATTCTGTTAACACACAGAGTGTTCTGCTCCATGCCTGCTGAGGGCAGAGAGGGGAAGGACTCCCCACACTGCAGCCCTCTGCACCCCCCAGACACAAGTCTGGGCAGCAGTTTGCCTGCAGACACACACTACTGGCTTCAGCTGCCATCTCACCACCTGCCTCCCTCCCTGGTCTCCCAAGCACAGGCCCTCAAGAGGGGCCACCACCAGCAGCCAGGGCAGGGGAGCTTTGCTGCTCTGAAGCATTGGGTTGGGGTGCTGCAGCCTCAGTGAAACCCAGGCCAGAGTATGGCTGTGGCAGTGCAGGATGTCCTGGCTGTGGAGGGAATCAGAGCCTTGAGGCACAAGAGGCACCGACACCTGAAAACCCTGCATTTCTCAGAAGAACGGAGTTTCTAGGGACAATATTAAGTAAGCACAATATTGGAGGTTTTGTAATAGCCACTGAGCAAAACAAAATTATGTGTGGCTTGAGGATGTTGAAAGGTGGTGTAAATTAAAGTTGTCCATTGCATTAATTTTGCTAGAATATAGTTTATCATCTGCTTTGTTAGGAGGAACATTTACATTAAAAATACGATATGGAAAAGTCAGATGCCATTAATGATTAGTTAGTTAATTAGTTAATTAAATTACCTCTTTTCCCCACTTTGTGAGATAACTATTTGTGTTATTACCAAAAGGTGGCTGACTCAGGGCCCAGCATGTGGTGTGATGTTTGCTGGGATGAGATGCCAGCCTGGGGCAGCAGCTTGGGCACGTGGTGAGCTTGCAGTGGAGAAGTTGTTTATATATCCCCAGAGTCCTGCTCTCCCAATAAATACCACACAGAGATATGGACAGGGAGTCACTTTCACTGTTTCTTACTGGCTGTGGTTTGGTTTCTGCTTTTACTGCTTACAGGATGAAATTTCAATAGAAAGGCTTTTATGTGACAATCTGTGTTATTGTTTAGAGATTCGTTTGTGAAGAAGGAAAAGGCAGTCTCAAAAAAACCATAAGATTTTGGCAGATGTCCATCTACAGAGGAAATTTAGAACTTCAGAGCTCTGGTTTCCTTTGGAAATATGATTCAGTGAGTGTTGCACTGAATATGACACATCTTTGTGTCTGACTGCTATCTGCAGAAGAGTAACCTCACATCTTAGCTGGATACAAAAGTAATAGCAACTATAAAAATTGTTAGAGTGGACCTGGTAGAAAACCAGCTTATATTATTCTGAAAGCACGTGAATGAGAATCTTCAAGCATTTAGTTTTGCTTCTGATTTTGACTGTCAGGTTATGCAATTGTATTCTTTCAAACACCAGCTGAGTCTGTATGATTAACTTCTGGAGGGGGATAGAAGTAAAAATTTGGAGTCTATCCAAATATAATCTTATAAAATAATATTAATGACACATCCAAATGGTGATGTACAGTTTTAAAATCTACCACATGGAAGCCTTGTTTATGGAAACTGTTCAATAATACAACATATCTTAGCTCAGGACGTACAGTTTTAAAGTTCTGCCTTTACACAGGTTAATCCTCAGGAGGTGTTTTACCAGATCTTGGTTAATTACCTCCAGATTAACACATATTTTCTTTAGAAAAGTTAATCATAAAAAAACAACATAACTTGAATGTTCAAATGAATGTGCCAGTAGACTTGGGCATGGTCTTCAGAAGTGTTTGGTACCTCTGCTTTTTTAACTGTTTCAGGTAATTTCCTAGAAAAGTAAGTGGCAAATGTCTGTGTGTCCAGCACAAGCTATTTAAGGGGTGATATGAATGAAATGTTCTCAGGAGACTTTGCGTGTACCAGAATTTCAGCATGTGCTTGGCTGGATTGAAAATAAAATGTTTTCCATTCAGCAACTGAGAAGTGCTCTGGCACTTAAGAATGGCCTACATTAAGGCACAGAAATCTGAGGTGGTGTGCTCTCTCCTGTTTTAGGAAATGCATCCCTGAAGAGGAAAGTCATACAGGAGACCCAGGCTTCAATGTCACCTGTAGAGAGAAGATTAGGTGGATTATGGGAATCCACTGGGCACAGCCAGAGGTCCCTCCCTCAGTGGCACTAGAACTGAGTCTGAAAAAGTGGGGTTCTGAAGCCCTGAGTTGCCCGGGGCAACACCTCATCTCCAAGCATTTGATTTAATTTGAGTCAATGAAAACCTGAAGGGAAGACATTGACCAGCCTCTAAACCAGCAGAGTGTCCCATGGCACCCACTCCAGGGAAGACTCATAAGGACAACTGGACACTGTAGGACTTGAGGCATGTGGGATGTGGGGAGGAATCCCATGTGCATATCTCTAATAAAATGTCTGTGCTCATCTGGCATTTTGCTTTACATTGCAAAACTACATGTAAGTACAATGAGAGATAGGGTAATATGTGCATTAGGGGATTTAATATCTCTACTGACTGTGGAGTGATTTATTTGCTCTACCAATGTGAATGTGACTCCTACTTGCCTAGCCAACTCCATGTAATAACTGTAGGAGAGATTTTTATGTACATATATTTTCCCCCTACATTTCCCCATACTCATTCTCAAGGTATTTGCTTAGCTTCTGTGCTCTGCCTTGCACTACTCCATGATGGAAAAATAAATATTCAAGAGCTTAAATTTCAGCAGTGAGAATTTCAAAATCATCAGCTTTAATGATTTACAAATTCAGTACTTCAGTCTCCTTCTCTCACCCTCTGCCTATCACAGCTGGTTTTGCCAGGCCTCCTTTCCCCTCCTGCTGTAGGGACTTGTGAAAATGAAATGGATTGTATCTCTGAACTTTGAATGAAGCTCTGGTTGTAGCATGACTGCTGAAAAGATAAGAAGAGGTACATTGGCCTTCGGCTCCTCAATACATGCCAGAGGGAAGCTCCCCTCACCCACCTCAGTGCTCACAAGGCAGACCAAGGTACAAAACCTGTTTGAACAGAGATATTTTAAGACATTGGCTGCATACCAATTACTGCTGTGTCCCATTCATTTTGCAGTACACTCTGCTGCTATGTAGCAGTAATCAAAGAAAGCTAAAAGCAAAGTGGAGATAACAATCTATCCTGATGTGAATATTAGAAGATGAAAGAGCTTTGTTATTAATGCCCCAATAACAAGTTCTGCATTTCTGTCCTTGTACCAGCTACACCACACTAACAAATAACAGCACTTTCTACTTTTCATATTTCCTGAATGATTTTATTCAAATGAAGACCACTCTGAGTGGCAAAAATCTGTAAAACTGAGTGAAGAGAAGCAAAAGCAACATTACTCTTGTCTAGATGCCAGATTTAGACAAAAGTGAAAAAAACCTCAGCACTGTAACCTCTGTCCTTGTCCAGTGAGAAGACAAAAGGCTCAGAGCACAAAAAGATGATTACCAGGTGTAAATGAGCTAAAAAGGAGGACTGGTCTTCAAGGTCCTGTGTTTTCCTGCAATTCTGAAGATTATAAGCAGTTTCAGAATCTGTCTTTTGTAACCTGCCACCACCTTCTCCAAAACTGGCAGCAGTCTCTGAAGGCTCCATCCTCAGTGTTTTCCATCTAGCCCCATGCAGTCTAGTCCTGCAGTTCTTGGACTCCCTTTCTATATAATTCTGGCTGCAGATTTCCCAGTAGGCAGATCTCTTTCCAGTCTGCCCACAGCTCTGGACTACTCTGGCTCAAGTAATTGGCCAAAGCCAGACAGCCTGCATAGCAAACAGCAGTAAATAGTGATTCATTGTGGTTTAGATTCATGGATTTTCAGAGCATGTAGATTAAAATCGTGGAATCAAAGAGCTCAAACAGAAGACAATATTCAGCAGCAGGAATCCTTGAAAACCACTTCAAAATCTTTAACTTATATGTCATCTCTGAGTTCCACAAATCCAGGTTTCACAGGGTTGTTCTGCCTCTGGGGGGTTCCCTCTGGAACTTACCATCCCATTGGAAATCCTGCATTTTGCCGTGTTTCTACTGCAAAGCTGCTGCTGGAGCTCCCTGTGGGAAAACTGTCTTGGATATATGGGAGTTAGCTTCCTCCTTCAGTTCATATCTGTTCTGCCAGAGGCTACTTCATGAATGACTCTGCTGCATATGAATCAATTCATTTTCTAACTTGAAACCAGCCTAATAATAAGGCATGGCATGGCTCTGACTAACCATTACCTAGAAATGAACTCTTTCATTTACTTTGTTCATTAATTTTTGGTGTGGGGGCAATGATAAGCAATATAAGAGATTCCAAAAGTATTTGCTGTATAGAGTAATGAAGTTTCATGACTTCTAGTGCATTACCAGACTTCTCTAGAAACCAAATGTGTTTCGGGCTATAGTGTTTGAGGGGAGAGCAGACTCAGTCATCTAATGTCAGAAGAGAGGCCATGAGCTTGGAAATAACCTTACTGCAATGGATATGCAAAACTGTGAGGATGGAGAAACTTTTATTACCAGGGTTCAACATCCTATTCCTATGCATAGACAAAAGAGCCCATGCTGAAATCAGCATTTCAGTCAGCCCAAATCGTGATCCTCCTGCCTGCAGAAAAATGGACAGTACTTAAAGAATTTAAGCCATGGGAATTAAGCCATTAATAAAAGTCTGAGAGGAATTCTGTCTGTGTTTCATGGTCATCTTTTCAAAATTTGAGCTATTGATCCTAATGTATATTTCCTTCCATATTGACTCAACTTTGCCAATGCTGTTTTGACGTGGGTTTTCTAAGTCACCAAACAGATGCTGTACTCATTGAACAGAAAAGCTCAGCAGAGGGGTGGCTCAGCCTAACGAACATGGATGTGCAAACCTCCCTTCAGTATGCACTTTTCCTAGGATTTGCTTGCTACAGGAAAGTTATTTGGCACAGTTGTCCTCTAACCTTAATGTTGGATCCTGTGTTCTGTTTTTTTGGCTGTGGTAGAGTTTTGGGGTTTTTTTCCTAGTAGCTGGTACTATGCTGTGTTCTGTATTCAGAAAAAAGTTAATGTTGATAACCCCCTGATGTTCTTTGAGTTGTGGCTAAGTAATGTTTATCAAGGACTTTACCCTTTCCCATGCTTTGCCAGTGAGGAAGTGCACAAGAAGCTGGGAGAAAACAGAGATGAACCAAAATAGCCAAAGGGACATCCCATACCACAGGCATATTCAGCATATAAACTCGGGGGGGGGGCATTGCCTGTGAGGGACTGATTGCTGCTCGGAGATGAGCTGGGCATCAGTCAGTGGGTGGTGAGCATTTATACTGTCCATCACTTCTTTGTCTTGGGTTTTACTCTTCTCTCTCTTTCTCCTATAGTTACTGCTATTGTTATTGTTATGTTTTGTTTCATTTCAATTATTAAATTGTTCCTACCTCAGCCTATGGGTATTACCTTTTCCTGATTCTCCTCCCCATCCCACCGAGGGTGTTTGGAGAATGAGGGACCAGCTGCGTGCTCACCAGCTGGGGTTAATCACGACCCCGTCGCTCTGTCCCTTTGACTACCCGGAGGATCCTGTGGCTGACCATCAGCCAGAAGAAAGCCGTCCCGGTGGATTTCTCCCTTCCTGAATACAGCTGAAGCCGATCACCCCGGACTGACAGCGCGGCCCCTTCCCTTGCCATCCCCCCAAAAGCGCACACAGCTGCTGCTTGCCGGGCTCTGGGCACAGTTCAACCTCTCCTCTCCTGTGGCTACCCCCGCGGGGCAGCCGGGGCGAGGCACGCCGCCTTTCCAGCTTGCAGGGCAGCTGGCTGTGCCCAGCCGGGCGGGCGGCACCGCCCCGGGCACGGCCGGCGCCTCCCGGGGCCGCTCCTGCAGCACCATGGAGAGAGGAGCGCGCCCGCCCGCACGGCCCGGCACGGCACGGCGGGGCAGGGCACGGCGATCAGCCAAGCAGCAGGCAGCAGGAGCGCAGCCTCCATCCCCAAGGCTCAGGCAGCCTGACCCCCTGCAAACCCACTCAGGATGGGTGTAAAGCCGTGGTATAAAGCCATGGTGTTGGCTTCTGGAGGGTTTAGCACTAAGAGCCCTCCTCTAAGGCTGAGGAGAAGCCTAGCCTTGGCTGCCGTGTGTATATCTGGCAGGCTTGTCGACTTGCACCAAACAAATGCATAGTGTGCTTTCCCTGGCAGTAAGTTTCTGTCAAGTAACTCTCATGTCAGTCCTTTCCTGCTCTGGAGGCTGAATTCTCTGGCAAAATTGCTAGTGTCACCCTGAAGCCCAGTTAGAATTGCCCCCCACACCCTGATGAACTCGAATGGTGTTTAACTGTTCAAGGCTGCTCTGGGTACAGGTGCTGCAATAGCAGTTGTCTGGTATCAACTTCCTTCTGCTGCTTATCTGCATTGCAATGGCAGTATCACCAAAACGCAGCCCTGCATTGGTTTGCTGATGTGACCCAGAGCAGCTAGGCATTGCCTGCTCCATACTGGCTACCATCAGGATAGCACTGTTTGCCCCATCAGGCTCTGCCAAAACAGGCACTGACAAGATGCCAGCAGGAGATTTGAGGCTCAAAAAAGCAAAGGTTCAAGGAAGCAGATTTCTCTTAGTTTCTTTTACACCTCCCTGAACTCACGGTATGGAATACCAGAACATACAGGAGTCATAAAGCAGCGCCATAGGCAAGGCATGCAGAATGCCAAACTAATTGTCTGAAGAAGCCGAGTAGCTGTCCTGACAGACTGAGGAAGGTCACAGAAAATGGATCTAGACACAGCTCAGTTAGCTAGTTACAGTTCTGTACTTTATATGAATGAAACAGCTCTGTGTAACATCACAGAAGTCAAAATACCTAAATAAAGTGTCTAAGCCATAATTGATTGCTAAAAGATGGTTCTTGTCAAATCTGGGTAATTCTGTCATTGTAAGAGTTTAGCTTGAGAAGAATGGCAAAAGAGGTTAACTATTACCTGTGAAGCACTGGGGAGTTAGCAGGAGGCAGGCTGGGTTCAAACTCTGCCATAAAAAGTCAGTATCTTTCCGGAGTTCATGATTCCAGAGTTTCAATTCTCATGCTCATGCTTTGAAGGCTCTTTATGAATCTTTCTTGCTGATAGGGACTGAGTGGTTAGTCAAAGGTTACTCTTTTTGAAAAAATGTTGTCTCACTGCTAGTTTTAATTTCTGGCATTTATTGGCTGTGTGAGTTTATGCTTGTGAGTAATGATCTCTTGGTTTTATTTATACAATTTCCATGGGTGTATCTGATGCTCTGATAATCATAACCAAGTTAACTGAAGAGACAATGTTCCCAGATAATATTTAGCTTGAAGCTTGTTGTATTTGTGTCAGATCTGATG